TGCTTGTGAATGACCTGACACTGGGTCATCACACTGGTTGTGAGTGACCTGACACTGGGTCATCATACTGGTTGTGAGTGGACCTGACCCACTGGGTCATCACATGGTTGTGAGTGACTGACACCTGGGTCATCCACACGGTAGTGAGTGACCTGACACTGGGTCATCACACTGGTTGTGAGTGACCTGACACTGGGTCATCACACTGGTTGTGAGTGACCTGACACTGGGTCATCACCAGTGGTTGTGAGTGACCTGACACTGGGTCATCACACAGTGGTTGTGAGTGACCTGATACGCAGGGTCAATCGCACGGGTTGGAGTGACCTGACACTGGGTCATCACACAGTGGTTGTGAGTGACCTGACACTGGGTCATCACACAGTGGTTGTGAGTGACCTGACACTGTTTTATCACACAGTGTGAGACCTCTACCCACTCTACCGGAGGTATCCCAGCGAGTGAGCACGTTTCCTGTATATCCCAGTGCTTAACAAAATAGGGAATAGCATATGAAGGTACAAATAAAAATGGGAACTATGGCTATAGTTTACTTAATAACATAAAAGGGCTAGAATACAATATCCTGAAGGAAATTTACACAAGATTACCAATGGACTATGAGGACTTATTCCAGGGGGGATAGGGTAGATGTTATCAGTAACAGGGGACTAGTACTCACTCTTAATTCACCGACCAGCTGACCCGAGAATTCCCAATGCGTGGGCCACTACACACGGCGGCTGTCCAGATCTCTCGCTCGACGGACCTGTCACAACACCTCTTTGCCGCTCTTCCTGGGCTTATAATCGTAGTCAAAGTACCCCTTCCCCATGGGTATGTACCACGTGTTACGACCTGACGCCGAGGTCTGCCGCTGTTAGAACAAAAGACCTCAGACGTGGGCGTGACTACCCGACATTTGCTAAGCAGGATGTGACCATATTAATTGGTTCCTAGAGAACTCACAAGCCCAATTGACTGCATCAAACAGTGGTTGGAGTGGCCTGACACTGGGGTCATCACGGCTGGTTGCGAGTGCCGCACTGGGTCATACACTGGTTGTGACCTGACACTGGGTCATCACCACAGTGGTTGTTGAGTGACCTGACACTGGGTGCATCAGATAAACCGTGGTTGTGAGTGACCTGACACTTTTATCACAGTGGTTGTGAGTGACCTGACACTTTTATCACACAGTGGTTGTGAGTGACCTGACACTGGGTCATCACACAGTGGTTGTGAGTGACCTGACACTGGGTCATCACACTGGTTTGTGACATGACACTGGGTCATCACACTGGTTGTGACCTGACACTGGGTCATCACACAGTGGTTGTGAGTGACCTGACACTGGGTCATCACACTGGTTGAGTGACCTGATACTGGGTCATCACACAGTGGTTGTGAGTGACCTGACACTGGGTCATCACACAGTGGTTGTGAGTGACCTGACACTGGGTCATCACACAGTGGTTGTGAGTGACCTGACACTGGGTCATCACGCAGTGGTTGTGAGTGACCTGACACTGGGTCATCACGCAGTGGTGTGAGTGACTGCACTGGGTCAACACAGTGGTTGTGAATGACCTGACACTTTTATCAACGAGGAGTTGTGAGTGACCCTGGACATTTTTCACACGTGTGGTTGTGAGTGACCTGACACCTTTTATCACAACCATTGGTTGTGAGTGACCCTGACACTGGGTCATCATGCGTGGTTGTGAGTGACCCTGACCACTGGGTCATCAACACTGGGTTGCGTGACCTGATACTGGGTCATCAACACAGTGGTTGTGAGTGAACCTGACCACTGGGTCAATCACACAGTGGTTGTGAGTGACCTGACACTGGGTAATCACACAGTGGTTGTGAGTGACCGATTGACACGGGGTCAATCACGCAGTGGTTGTGAGTGACCTGGACACTGGGGTCATCACACAGTGGTTGTGAGTGACCTGACACTGGTCCATCACACTGGGTTGTGAGTGGACCTGACACTGGGTCCAAATCACACGTGGTTGTGCGGGACGCTGACCACTGGGTTCCTCACACAGTGGTTGTGAGTGACCTGACACTGGGTCATCACACAGTGGTTGTGAGTGACCTGACACTGGGTCATCACGCAGTGGTTGTGAGTGACCTGACACTGGGTCATCACACAGTGGTTGTGAGGTTTAAGTAACCTCAGTAACCAAGAGGTCAATAATTTTTGTTCCATCTTTATAATTTATTGTGACTTTGAATTATTAATTTGGTTGTGACTGCAACTAATAATCTTAGAATTCCTTTGATTTCCATAGTGATTGTAGTGTAATATGGCCCATAAACTGGTCCACTATATCATATGTTGTTCACATAAGAACATGAGAAAGGAGGCCTGTTGGCCCATACTAGGCAGGTCCTTCACAGATCCATCCCACTAATTATCAGACTAATAGAATATTTGCCCTCGTAAGAACATAAGAAATAAGATACACTGCAACAGGCCTACTGGCAGCAGACTAACAATATTGTTAACAAGGCTTTATATGAAAAATCTTGAATTTCTAAACAGTTTTAGTGCTTTGTAAATTTTGTAAATTAGCTCAGATTGTTCATGTCTGTCCGTTCTGAAGTTGAGACGCGAGCAGTGTGTATGCAAGGCGCGCGCGCGCACGACCGCCCTGGACGTTCTCCAACTCGCCCTTTACTGTTGGTAACGCTGGACCTACCCCAAACATACCTGATAACGCTGCACCTGCACTAGCCAAGCTCTTTCATAGCGTTGGCAATAGCGGGCCTGGCCCAGCATAGTTGCCAGACCAGCACAGGTAACAACACACATGCGCCTTCCTTCAACACTTTCATACACTACATACACCCCTGTGTATGTCCCTGTACATGTTGCAGTGTTGCTGGTTTGTTGTGGCAAGACCACTTTGAACCAGTGATAGTCGTTGTCCTGACTTAACTCTGGTTCGGCGTAACTAAGGATGTGTCAACGGTAATTTACACAGTGTTGTGTATCTGTGTGTGAACAGAGAGTTTACTTTAATCCTTTGGGGATTAAAGTAGTTTTTTAAGTTACTGTACAGGCGATATATCGTCTAAATGACTAGGGTTCAAGCTGACTTACAGTTCTTGATAAAGGGCTCAGTTTTCAACAGGAATTACCCGGGCTAGGTTCTTGAACATTATGGGCAAATCTGCATATTATCTACTTGTTCCTGTTCACCTAGTAAGAAATAAGTACGTAAGTGTTAGTTGGTTGTTATGGGTGGTATCGTGAGGAGAGGGGAATGAGTTGAAATGCTTTACCAGATCTAAAACTACAAGTTAAGCTGCTTAAAAAAAAAAAAACACTTAACTAGAAAGGCTCCAGCAGCCAAAACGTTTTCCTGGCTGACCTACATTTGAGCGCAAATAGTTGACACGCCACTGGTGCTATCATCTGGATGTTGCAACATTTAAGTATTACTAACCTGACAAATTATGGTACAGCAAACGTTGCATGTTCTGTGAAACGTATCCATCCTTAAGTTAACAACGTATTTGATTGCTCATAAGTTTCTTAGTAATATTAATTGGCATTATTACTGATATTGCATTCTGAGATACATGGATGAAGATTGTGTCACTTTTCCGCTGACACTGGTTCCTCTCTTTGGGTGGTTGCACCAACCTTGTTTCGCCAGTTATTTGGTACAGCAACCTCGTGTTGCACCTACCTCTTGTTAAAACAACGTTTTTGTTAACAGCAACCTGTTTGTTGTACCTATCTCTTGTTACAACAACGTTTTATTAGAACGTTTTGTTATAGTAACATCTTGTTACAACACCGTCTTGACTCACGAAATCGTAAATGACCGATGGCAGACAACCATACCAGGGATGGGGATTGAAAACTGTGGCGAGTGCGGTCGTAAAACCCCAGTCACTAGGCCAGCTGGCTACAAAATTGTAGCCACCTGGTTCAGTTCAATTCCCGCCCTTGGTATGGGTAAACACCGTTTGTTGCACCTATCTCTTGTTACAACAACATAGCTACCACCATTTTTATTTGTAACTATTCGTCACTGATAATACAACATCGTCGGGCACTGCAGTGTATTACACTTGGCTGGCTGTCCAGTGATGTTGAGTTTGAATTTCTCTTGAGAACAGTAGTTTTGTTTTTTTTAGTTTTCAGGCAGCTGTCGAAATACAGTCACATCTTTACCAGCTTGTCTTAAGAACCAGCTGGCTCTCCAGTTTATATAAGAAGTGAGATGTCAGTTGTTTGAGTAGTATCACTTAGTGGTCACTAGAAGTCGTTAGTAGTGAGTGCTAGTGGGGTGTTGACCTATAGTTGGGCCATCAACAAATGTCTTAAGTGGTAGCGCTGTGTCATCAGGTGGAGGAGGAACTGATTGATTCTACTTGGACGATACAACTTATGAGCTAAGAAAACGTGTGAAGAAGTTGTAACAGTCCTTTATGGAGGAAAAGGATGGCAATAAATATAAGTGAGTGGAATTAAAGAACTAATAGCGTTGTAGATGTAGACGGAAGAAGCACCTATGATTAACGAGCATCCTAAAAAACTAACAGGATTTCCTAGTTTCAGTTCACGGTTAACTCGGATGAGTAAACAAGTAACTGAGATAGGTTGGTCGATGTTGTAGGTTGCTGAGTACAGGATTGGGGTTCATAAGGGGTCGTGGATTATCATCCACAGTCAAGCTAAGACTAATAAGTTCTTGGTGTTTATGTTGGTCCTGTAGCCAGGCCGGGCGTTCAGATGGGTCACGCCCACGCCGCCTGCATTACGCGGCTCACAAGGCGCCCACGCTGACGATACTTCTCACTCACTCATGTCGTGGGAAAGTCATATGTGTAGAGATGAGGAGGAAAATGATAGGGCGATTAAAAGTGTATATGTATAACGGGGAAAGGGGGGCAGGAATGTGTACGGCACGGTTAGGGACACTGGGCACTACCAAGGGTACCGTGCGAGGTGCAGTGAAAGCTGGCAGCAGCAGCATCAGACACAGCCGCAGCAACATCAACAGCAACAGCAACAAAAGATCCAACATCAGCTACAGCAACAACAGACGCAACACCAACAAATACAGCAACAGACTATTATGAGGCAACAGCAACAAACACAACACCAACAAGCTCCGCAGACAGTCATAAGACAGGTCTCCAACTCTCGAGAGACTACCAGCCGAATCACAGGCAAGGCAGGAGACGGGGACATGTCGGCGGTTGACTTTGCTAAGGTGCGCTACCAGGAATCACAACAACATCCACACTCTTCGCAACGGCTCAACGACTACCGTAGTATCTCCAAACAAACGGTCAATGGGGACGGCCGCGTCATGATGGCACGTACGCGCTTCGAAAACGGCAGCACCTCGTTGTCTGATTCCATGTGGAGGGGTTCCTTCAGCATTCAAGCGGATGAAGTGGGTTCCACACTGCCCGAATTTTATCGACGCAAGTTACGTAAAATGAGAAAGGCAGGGTCGCCAGAGCCGCTTGTAGCGGGCAGCATCTCTGCTCTGCCACACCCTGAGCTGACTGATCAACAGAAGGCCCACATCAGGGAGAGATCTCAATCTCCTACCACCGGATACAACAGCGCTGGGGTGGCCATCAGACCCTTCCTTACGCAGGGCAGTGTGGCCGAACGAGTGCTTATATTCGAGCGTGCCCCAGCAGAGATGAAGCCCAAGCCAGGAGTGCCCACGACTGCCGCCCCAGAGAAACGCCGCCCCGCCATATCTACCTGGCGCGACCCAGACGAGGTTCGCTCCCTCGCTCAGGTGAGTTTTAACCATTTGCTCTTTACTCGCATTAACCATATATCTCCACCACATAATCCCTGTCATGGCACCACAGAAATCTCCATTTCAATATTATATATCCATCGCAATCATGAACACCTGTCAAACTGTTGCCACACACAGATTCCTCATCATGTTTTCTCAAGACACACGGGTGTTACCATCAGTACATCATGACACATGTGAAGGTCATCACCTCAACACTTCCTGACACATGTCAAGGTCAACAACCCAACACTTCCTAACACTTGTCAAAGTCAACAACCCAACACTTCCTAACACTTGTCAGTCAACAACCTAACACTTCTTAACACTTGTCAAAGTCAACATACCAACACTTCCTAACACTTGTCAAAGTCAGCTCAGCAACATTTCCCGACACACTTTCTGGGTTTTGCTCTGACACTATACCTTAAACTGTCTTGCTCTGTGACACTATACCTTAAACTGTCTTACTCTGTGACACTATACCTTAAACTGTCTTGCTCTGTGACACTATAACTTAAACTGTCTTGCTCTGTGACACTATACCTTAAACTGTCTTGCTCTGTGACACTATACTTAAACTGTCTTGCTCTGTCACACTATAACTTAAACTGTCTTGCTCTGTGACACTATACCTTAAACTGTCTTGCTCTGTGACACTATACCTTAAACTGTCTTGCTCTGTGACACTATACCTTAAACTGTCTTGCTCTGTGACACTATACTTAAACTGTCTTGCTCTGTCACACTATACCTTAAACTGTCTTTGCCTTTGCTGTGACACTATACCTTAAACTGTCTTGCTCTGTGACACTATACCTTAAACTGTCTTGCTCTGTGACACTACCCTTTAAACCAATACCTTAAACGGTCTTGCTCTGTGACACTATACCTTAAACGGTCTTGCTCTGTGACACTATACCTTAAACTGTCTTGCTCTGTGACACTATACCTTAAACGGTCTTGCTCTGTGACACTATACCTTAAACGGTCTTGCTCTGTGACACTGTACCTTAAACTGTCTTGCTCTGTGACACTATACCTTTAACTGTCTTGCTCTGTGACACTATACCTTAAACTGTCTTGCTCTGTGACACTATACCTTAAACTGTCTTGCTCTGTGACACTATACCTTAAACGGTCTTGCTCTGTGACACTATACCTTAAACTGTCTTGCTCTGTGACACTGTACCTTAAACTGTCTTGCTCTGTGACACTATACCTTTAACTGTCTTGCTCTGTGACACTATACCTTAAACTGTCTTGCTCTGTGACACTATACCTTAAACTCTCTTGCTCTGTGACACTGCCTTGAACTATTTTGCTGTGTCGCTGTCTTTCTCTACAAGACTAACATTAAACTGCAAGTTTACCGCCTTCTTGGTACATTTTTTTAGGTTGAGTGGTCAAATTATATTTTCTTTAGCAATTCTGTGCTAGATGAATAATCTTGTACTCGCTGATTTGAGTGCGGGGCAAATCGTGTCATTCTTGACCCAATCTCTTAAGCTACTTCAGTCTCCATTACTGGTTTCAGAACTTTTTAATCCTATCTACACTTGAAAGCTGTGTGTATAACTTACGTCCACCACCTCGTCATTCAAATCTTTCAATTTACTTCTACCTCAATACATTTTGTATGCTGAGGAGTAACCAGAAGTATCATTTCTATATTGGAGGTTCTCATTCCACTTTCACTATTATTCTATAATATGAACACAAGATTTTATACGTCCATAATGATCCTCGACGAATGGAAATGTCATCGACACTTTCCTTTCCAAGTTCTGGGTCAGTATAGACTTGTTACAGCTATGTTATTGTGGCATGTTATTACATTCTTCTTCTTTTCCACCTGTGAACCATTGCTAGATGACTATTCAGACTTAATAGCCGTCTCCTCTTGCACCTGACCTCCCACAGTATCATCTTTTAACTAAAAATACTCTCTCTTCTTTCTTAAGAATATCTTATAACTTTTGCCAGTCACGTTTTCCTTCCTTGATTCAAAACTTTCCAGTTCCGTAGCTGCCTCTTCTTCCTAAATCGGAACTCTGTGGTACGCTCTTCCAACAACTGGATGACTTAATCTTTGGGATGTTGCTACGGCAGGTTAATGTGAAAATAAGATATGGCCCATGTACATAAATAGTATACAATACCGACAAGATGAAGAATTAGACACATGTGCAACGTCTGGGTATCTTTATTTGTAAACGTTTCGCCAACTAGTGGCTTTATCAATACAAGAACATTATCTGAAGAATGTAGAATTTTATACAAAAGATGAGGTAATCAATCCCTCATCTGTTGTATATAATTCTACATTCTTCAGATTATGTCATTGTATTGATAAAGCCACTGGTTGGCGAAGTGTCTACAAATAAAGATACCCAGATATTGCACATGTCCAATTCTCCATCATGGTCCATGATGTACGTACGAGTTGGAGGTTGGAAGGTCACTGCCCCCGCAGCCTGGGATACTTGCCCGCGAGCTGACACCTATATTGGCTCACCCATTTCCTCTGTCTCAGCTTTTTCTTCTGACTACTGACATGTTGGCCTCTTTTCTATTACATAAACTATTTTTGTTCTGAAAGAAAAAAGTCTTGCATACTTTAATACTGTATTCTACCTGATTACTAGTATAGTCTCCCTGAGGCTTGTGTTGCTTCTGTTCTGTTATTTTACACACGTTTGCTCAACTTCGCTCTAGGGGTCACGTCAGTTCACCCGTTTTTTATGTTATTTTTCCCCTATAATCTACCTTGTCCATAATTACTATAGCATTTGCTTTGCTTTCGTATGGTTAAGTCTAAGATCTTTTTTAATTCATGGTATAACATAACAAATCTTTGAGGACAATTGTCCTCGAAGATTTGTTAAGATTGTTATGGAAGCTTCGGTACCCACAGGCGATATTTGACATTAGCTTTTATTGGCTCTACCAATGCCATTCTAGAAGGTTTATGATTTCAGATGTTCTTGTCAGGCATGCCTTGCCCAAACCTGACACAGCCATCACGTAACCCCTCCCCCACACATGCAACACCTGATTTAGCTATCTGCCGACATGTCCATTCCCATAAATCTAAATGCATCCACTTCCCCCATACTCCCTCCAGTCTGATATCCAGTGCTTCATATTTTTTTTTTACTCTCATCACCTTGCTCTTTTCTATGTTCACTCTTTAATTTCGTTCCTTTACACACCCTGGTCTTAGACCGGGCCACGGGGGCGTTGACCCCCGAAACTCTCTCCAGGTAAACCCTCCCAAACTCATCAGCCGACTCTTCCAACTTAACTTCTCTTCAAAATACCTCAAAAGAAATGTCATCGGTAAAGAGTAAGTGACAGCTTGCATATTGAACAAAAAGGCACAATACCGTGACTGGAACAATACACAACCCTCACACATGGGAGAGAGAAGCTTATGACGACGTTTCGGTCTGACTTGGACCACTTACAAAGTCACACTAACATAAAAGAGAGAGGGGGGAGCCAGTGTATATATGAGCAAAATGGACGGGGACGGGACCAAGAGAGGAAGGTAAAGAAGTAGTGGTAGTTTAAGTAGGGAGAGTTGTTTAAGTGGGAAAGGAGATAGAAAGGGAAGTGAGGGGTGAAGGGAGGCAAAAGCAAAGGTAGTAGCAATAGTAGCATTAATGGTGGTAGTAGTAAAAGTCGGATCAGTCTGAAGACATGAAAAAGGAGCACTGCAGGAGAGCTAAGGGGTAGGACCAAAAACACGGAAGGGGGGTAACTGAAGGGTTATTTGTGTATAGCTTCCATATTGTATCATATTTACCTTTTATTCTTCACACCTCTTCCTAACACCCTAGCTCTCACTTCTTTTACAACCCAGCACTTTAAATATCTTAAACCACCACGGTGATATCACACATCCCTGTTTAGGTCCTACTTTTACTGGAAAAAAAAGTCTCTCCTTTACCCACATTTCCTAACCTAAGCCTCTGCATTCAAAATCTTTATTGCTTTTTTTTAACTTACTACCTATTCCATACATTTGCAACATCTGCCACTTTACTTCCCTATCCACATCATCATTTGCCTTCTCTAAATCCACAACTGTGACTGAATGTTCCTTACCTTTATTTACTGGAAAACATACAAAGGAGGATGACAAAGTTGATCCCATGTATCAGTAATCTTCCCGATGATGATAGACTGAGGACCCTGAATCTGCACTCTCTAGAAAGGCGTAGAATTAGGGGGGGAGGGGGACGATTGAGGTGTAAACACCCTCTGTACTTTTTCTTTTCGTCTTGTGTTTGTTTCTTTCGACACTAATTCTACAGTACACTTTAACTGATATATTCAGCAGGTTTATTCCCGTTATTTCTTGCACACACACTCGTGTCCTCTTTTCTCCTTATATAAAGAAACAGTGTATTTGCTCTCTGACAATCCTTAGGTATATTCCCTTCTTTTATGCATATATTTCACAAATACACTATTTCAAAATTATATCCACAGCTTCTTTTAATATTTCAGTTTTAATACTGTCTGTCCCCGCTACTTTACCCACTTCTGCCCACTACCTCCCCTTCATCAGTATTTAACAGGTCTTCAAAATATTCTCTCCAGCACCCTCCCCATCTAACGTCTCCCCTCTTCGGCATTTAACTGCCAAGTCCATTTACTACCCAGGCTTTCTCAACTTATTAAACTTTCTTATATTCAGCACAATTTGATGATAAAGAAATCCTCTCCTCTTTCCCTCATTCTCTAGTTCGCTTCCTTTTGTACTTTTTTCATTACTCATTTAACGTCTCTTTTTTTTCTCTGTCTCCGTACACACTGCCTTTCCTACATCATTTCTTCATTGTAAAACCCTCTCATGTGCTAACTTTTCTCCTTTACCACCTACCTTCTTGATCTTCCTCCAGTATTCCTTTTCTCATATGCCTTCACCATTGTATAACCTCAGATGTCTGCTGTGCATTCTAGCATTAAATTCTTAAATGTGC